TGACGTCGAAATCATGCGAATGCGAAACAGATTCTGACAGGGGATGGTGTCGCCTGGAGATTTGGTGCAATCTCCTTTCCCACCACAACGAGGCACCTTTCGTCGTGATCCAGGACTGCGACCATGCTGAGTTGCTGGAAGTGTATTCGGGTCCAAACCGGACTTTGGGTTTTTCTCAGTCTTGCTTTCTTTCGAAGTGTCTCAAGAGTTACGTGCTTCGTCCTGGCAAGGTTCTCCATGCCCGTGCACTGGGTGCGTGAAAGCGCGCATGATGGTTACTTCACCGTGGAGTCCGATCGAAGCAGAGTCGCTCAGGTCATGCAGACTGCTTTCGAATCAAAAATTGCGAGCCTGCGCATCGAGGAGCAAACGAAGCAGCGAACACAGCTCTTCCGCTATCTCCTCGCAGGCAAGAGCCGTCTGCTCGGGCTGCCCACACCGGGCCTGACACCGGAGTCCTTCCCCAAGTACTTCGGCTTTGACTCCCTGGAGTCTGCACTCAAACAGAAGACTGGGATGGTAGCCACGGCCTGTGCTGTTCTGACTGAAAACACTGCGACTCTCCGATGGCTGGCCAAAGCCGGTGCGGAGCTGAACCCGCAGCTGCCGGGCATCATGGAAGTGGGTCTGACGCGGGGCTGGACGCCTCTACATTTGGCAGTCAGCCACTGCAGTGACCCCGGCATTGTGCAGGAACTCCTGAATCTCAGGGCCAACCCGAACTCTTGCAATCGTGGCGGCATGCCAGCCCTTGGCTGCTGCACCAGCGTGGCAGCCGTGGATTTGATGTTATTTCATCGGGCAGACGCGAATTTTTGCCAGCAGCCTGGAGGCCTCACACCCTTGGCATTATCGACCACCCTGTGCGCTCCGCCATCGGTAGTGCGGCGTTTACTGCAGGCACGGGCCGATCCGAATGGCCGTGGATGTGGCATCGGCCATGCAGCTTTGTCCATGTTGGCGATCTCTGCGAATGGCAATCCAAATCTCGCGGAACATGTGCAGATACTTTTGGCAGCTGGGGCAGATGTAAACCAAGGAGGCCACCCCCAAGGCCCCGTAAGGGTCTACGAGCTTCTCTGTCGCTTCTTCGCCACTTTCCCCTGGTTCCGATTAGGGGAGAAGCTGGCTTTGGTGGAAGTCTTTGCGGCAGAGGCGAGCTCCACGGCCCTGGGAGTTGCATCACTCCTCGGTCGCGAGCAGTTGGTTCAGCTGCTCTTAGAGGCAAATGGTGACCCGATGCTCCCAAACAGCCGAGGCAACAATGCAGGCGACTTGGCGAGAAGACGGTTATCCTCGAATTTTAATCCCAAATCTCTTTGTTGCCCTTGAGAAAGTTCTCCCCTCCTTGCTTTTCAACAGTCAGTTTGCAGCCGGCGGGTCTGCATTCTTGTACAGATACGAATACTGACTACCGCGCTTCACACCTTATGTCTCCAGAGAAACGGTCTGGACACACTCGTGCACGCGCCGAAAGATGTAAAACAGGTGGGTAGTTCCAGCGGTCTTTGACAGCTACGCATGTCCACGGGCTGAAGAGGAAGGGAGGGAGGGAGAGAGAGAGAGAGCGAGAGCGTGCCGAAGGCTGCTAAGAGCAGAGACTGCAGATAGCAGCAGAGCTCCTGAATCAGAAGCAGATCCTTTGATTCCAGCACGGTTGGACCAGGGCACTGTTCCTTGTCGGAAGCTTTGGCGCAGGTCGTCGTGATCGACTTCGGCCTTACCCACATTTTCCAAAGTCCAGGCCGATGCAAGAGGAGCAAGGTTAATTGATTAGATGCCAGTTCAAGCCAAATAAGTGGAACTATTGCATCGCTTGGTAGTTCCACAGGCCTCAGGCCTTGAGCATGTCAATTGCCAGGGTTCGTCTCCGAATTGAGAACTAGCCGCATGATTTCGTTTTGACAAGTCCCATCACTGTCCCATCGACAAGAGAGAATGGTGGTTTTTCTACAGCCCCAAGGGCGCGCTCCAAAACTTAACGATCCTCCTCCAACCTGGTCTAGAGTGCCAAAGGCTCGGCGGAAGCCTTCCTCTTCGGGCACGAAGAAGAAGGCCTGTGGGGGTCTCTGATGGCACCTCGAGCATGTTGCGAAAAGGCATGTGAATCTGTAAAGAGTGACGAGATCTTGCGCCGCACCGTGCTGCCACATAGACACCAGCAGCTTCTCTCTCTACGGATCTGTTGCAGGTGAGCGCAGTCGGCTTCGTGTTGGTGCACGCCATATTCGGGCTCCTGAGGCTTTCCCCCATGCTCACATGCGAGGTTCAGGTGCATAAGCTTCTGCAAGAGGCGAGCATGACTCCCACCCAGTATTCGTGCCGATGCAGCGCACAGGTGATCCTGGGCCTGGACCGAGGCCTCCTGCATCTTTCACAAAAGGGTGTGCAGTCTGAGCAGTTTCGTGTTGCTGCTAAACAAAAACTGTCTCGCGGCTATGTGTGGGTCGCTGTGGGTGATCAGGCTGAGCTGTTAATGATGAGGTATTCGGCATCGATCGGAGGCCCGGCCTGCCGAAAGTGCGCACCGCGGGAAACGTCACCAAAGGCTGTAATTTCGGCTGGGCGCACGAGTACCAATGCCTCCGCGCAGCACCTGTTCAGACATGAAAACAACCGTGTAACCCGTGTAACTGCTGCCGTCAAGCAATGTCCCCTCGGGCTGACTTTGCTTTGCAGTTCGTTGGGCGTTGTGCTCGCGACTGTCGTCGATGCTTGCTTCAGAATCTTGGGTGAAGCCTCTCAAGAGCGATCGATGACGCTATCGATCTGCTTTTGCCGGTCGGGGACTAGCATCGACTAGCATATCTTGTCTTATGTTGACCTTCGAACTGTCGAGATTCTTTGCAGTCAGCTGTGACAGCTAAAGCAACTACCAGACGTTGCTTGCGAGAAGAACAATCGAAAACTCGCTTGGGGAATCTTTACGGGAGGACAAGACTCAGAGCAGCTGGTGAGTTGGACAATAGCCTGTCTTGTGCCATTCTGATCGTGCCTTCCACAGTTTCCCCTCCTTCGTACGCTTTCCCTGCTGCACTCTTCGTATGCCGTAACAGAAGGGAGCAGGAGCTCGGGTAAAGTGGGCGTTCGTCGGTTGCCAGGATGCGTAGCAGACCTTTGGAGCTTGGGCTGCCTACTGTACACGTTCCGGACCCAGTTCAGCGATGTTGGTCATGATCGGAGCTAATTGCTTGCCTTGGTTCGCTTCTCTATGAGGCTCTACACCGGGGAACGCCTTTTCCCAGCAGCTTGGCGCAGAGGACCAGACACCTAAGCCTTTCCTGTTAGAGTCGCTGCCGCGTGCATCTGAGGTGCATGACGAGATGGCGCACTTGGCGGCCATTGAGCCGCGAAGCCTGCAATGGTAAGGGCAGGGGTGATAAGGCATTCACTCACGACGGTGTGCTGGCCAGCGAAGATCGGGAAGTTGTGAGGGACTCTGCGAGTTCAGTGCTGCGAAAAGGCATATCTGAGACGACTGCGCAAAGACGCGCTCGCACTGTGGCACTGTCTCCTTTGAGCTGTGACGCAACCACAGCCCCAAGACCAGCACCTTCGGATAGCTCCTTGAGTTCCGGTGCCCGGAGTCTAGGGCTGAAGCAGTATGACTCTATCACGACCCCAGGTGCTTCAAGCCTTGCACACCTAGATCTCAGGTAGATAGGTCGATTCGATAGTAGGTAGGCACATAGGTGGATAGGCTGTCAAGTGGGTAGGTCGGTCGATCTAAGCCGAAGTAAGGTTAGTCGCGGCTTCGGCTGGCACTTGCTTGAAGCATGAATGATTCTGTTTAATTGGCATCTGAAAGTGTGGCGGCTGCAACATGTCTCAGTTCTTGATATGGAATTGCGTTTAAGCTGCCCGAATAAGGAATTTGTTTGTCAAACATGATTCGCATGATTTCCCACTTGTGGTAGATTCTGGTCGAGTACAACATAAGTTCCCCAACCAGAAACCCAACACGAAACTCATGAAACCCGTAAAAAAACCTATGACACCGTTAAAGGCCTGTGACATCCTGTAAGACTAAAGACCAAGCCCCAGATGATCGTCAGCATGATCACCCCAAAGCCCTAAACCCGAACCTAGAGCCCTAAACCTCTGTGATAGGCATTCTGACTAAAGGGTGACACCGGCAGACGGAAAAGAGGTCTCAAAAAGAAGCTCAAGTGTACACCGGCCGTGATGTTTGCTAGCAGGCGCATTACTGAGCAACGGGTACCACGAGCCATGACCCGCAATGTTCCTGAGCGTGCCTCAGCTAAAGTCGCTCCGCGTTTGAGGGGGCTGTAGGTTTCTGTTAAGGATTGTTGTTCCCGAAACCATTGCGAAGGTCTTTTCCGTGGAGGTGGTTTCTGTTGTATGGGATGATGTGAGGGTTTCTCACGGTCAAGGTCAACTTAATTAACTTGTTTAACGTACGGGGCATGGCTAGCAGGAGTCGCCGCGCCCTGACACTGGCGCTTCGCGCGTGGTGCTGTGACGGTTCATGCTCGGAATTGACAGCCCTTTGCTGTCCAATGTGTGCTCGGTCGAACGACATTGCGCTGGCGCTGTGCAGGTGCTTAGTGGGGCCACGACGACTCGTGCGGTCCACGTCCTCCGGTAAAGTGTGATTCATTGTGAAAGCCGCATGTTGGCCTGCACGCGACAACCATCTGGACAGTGCGAGTCCAGTTGAGCCTTCAAAGCCTGAAAGCCGCCAGTACATGGGGCAAGCACTGTGATCATGTACCTGAATCCCGCCCGTACATTGGGGTAAGCATTTCGCCCGAGGTCTGAAGCATGTTGGCCGATGGTTGGTTTGTAGAAGGATGCGGAAGGGTCTGTGGAAGCTTTCGTAGATTGGTTTCGGAAGGGTTTAGATAAGTGTAAAGGAAAGTTTGCACAAGAGCTTAGAGAAGGGTTTGTCGAAGGAACGCGCGGGTCTATAAATAGATCGCGGGATGGCAAAACAGCCCTGACGGTGTGTAGAGCCCATGCCGACTAAACACTTGGCTTCTACTGCATGTGTCAAACAATGTCTTGCGCTGGGGCGGCTCTTCGCGAACACGACCTGCCTTGATGATCACTGACTCGGCCCCCCCTCACCGAAGATCTTTAAATATCTTTGAGTAATTCTGCTGCATCCTAAACCCTAAACCCCTAAACCCAAAACCCTGTTTCAGAAACGACCGACAACTGACCCTAATTGGAACCACGTGGCCATCTTGAGAGCCCAGCCGAGGCATTCTCGAGAAAGGCGTGACCTTCGACCGGGCCTCGAGATTTTTCGCATAGGCTTCCGGACGTTTAGGCTCTATATAGGGTCTTAAGGTCTTAGGGTTTATAGGGTTTAGGGTTTTTTGGGTTTAGGGTCTTAAGGGCTTTAGGGTTACTACGAAGAGGGTTTGGGCAAGTTTGGTTTCGGGCTTGCGGGCATACGCATTCATGGCCAGATGTCAAGGATTCACCAGCACAGTGCAGCAAGACTTCGAAGCTGAGATTGGGCTCCTATGACTATGATATATGCCAAGACTGTATTCTAGTTATCAAGGCCTCGTCACTACCTGAGGAGTCAGATGGTCGGCTTGCTTGGCCACAGTGTGCAGCAGACGAGGAGCAGGCGAGTTGCAACAGAGCGCAAGAGTGCGTGGGTCTCTCTTTAGAAATGTCATTCAGTAACAGCTGTACTACATGGATTCGCAGATGCTTTGGGTTTCGGTCCGGACGGAGTATTCAGTAAAGTGACGGTAGCAGTCTTGAATCGGGCGCAAGCCGGCCGTCATCTGAGCTGTTCGAAGTCACGACGGCGTAGTTGACGAGGTGCAAGAGATTGAGGACATGCCCACTCTGCACGAGTGCCTTGGCAGTGCATGCCCATAGCCCGAATACGAGCCCCGCTCGGTCGCAGAGGGAAAGAAGAGCTAGGCTCAGATGCAGATGCCTTGTCAGGTTTTGCATGAGGAGGTTTGTGACGCAAGTGCGAAAAAAAATGAGGTCAGTGCTCAGCCGGCACGACATCTTCCTCTCCTTCCTGCAAGGCGAGCTGCGATCGCTCTTGTGCCGCCGGGAAACAGCCTCCCAGGACAACCTCGCCAACAGATAACGGAGCTGGGGACCCTGCACGAAGATCAGAAGAAAAGCAAGACTCCTGCTTGCGGCTCTGACAGGCCTTCTTGAGATTGATCCTTGCCGTCGCATGACGGCGACAACTGCGCTGCAGCATCCTTTCCTGCACAAGGCCGCTGGTGTACTTTGTAGGGAGGCCGTTGTGGGTCATCCGGTCAGTGACGGCGGCGAAAGTAGCTAGATCGGTAGCAGACCGGGGTCCCGGTCGTTTGCAGAAAACTCTGTTTGCGAGGACCCTTTTCCGTCAATTTGCGGAGTCTGGGTAATTGGACTCTCTTCAGACTTCATACGACCCGCACCCCAGAGGATGGTCTCACACAGTTCGACCGCGGCGCTCTCAGATTGATGTCGTTAAGGACACGGCCCTCTTCCTAAGTCGAAGGAACTCCTTGACTGTCTCGGTCCTGCATGAGACCGCAGACGAACTCAGGTGATGAGTGAGCCAGACGAGGGAGCTGCGGGAAGCGGAAAATGTGGGCGCGAAAGCAGCAACACCGGACTATTGCACACTCTTCTGCAACTCTTCTGCTGTGCGCCTGCAGCTTTCTTGCATGGCTCATTCTGCTTCACCCACTTCGAAAGCCAGACTTTGCAGACCTGGAGCAGCTCTTCACATTGCACCCAGTAGGCATTAGAGGAGCCTATCTCGAGTCATTCAATCATACTTAGTCATACTTCTACCAACAGCTTCCACCTTGGCCACCTTTGGCGATGCACGGGGCTCTGGTGGTGATGGTTCTCCGGAGTCTGCAGATTGGCCTGGCAGATTCGTACTTCGCACAGTATGCAAAATTTCGCACTGTGCAGACGCGAGATGCTGCTGCAGATTCCGTTGCCCTCATGGAAATTTATCTTATGGATCCGGATCAGAATCAGGTGGATCTTTCCTCTGCCGTCGCTACCAACCCGGGGGGCAACCATTATTCCGGTCAGCACCCTCCGTCCCTTGCCATCGACAAAACATGGTCGAAATGGCTGGACTTTAATAAAGGGGATTTGATCGTCAGCCTCCCGCCTCCTTCCACCGCGATCGGTTACTTTGGAATGCAACTAGCGGAGGATGCTCCACAGAGAGATCCAGTGCTGTTTGAGCTCCTGTTGTCTCAAGACAGCGTGAACTGGGTTCTCGTGTACAAAAATTCCAACACAGCCGTTGTGCCCAACATTCGGAACCATGACATACTCAACCTCGAGCTGGCCGCGCAGTGGCGGGATTTCCTGTTCGAGCCAATATCCACACGAAACCTGACGGACGAGGAGGGCCCGGTGATCCAAGTGGCAGAGTTTCAACTCTGGGACGCTGCCTCACCGCCTGCAGAGATAGACTTGCCAGCCCAAGGTGCAACAGCAACTGACTGGCAGAACCTGGGGAGCAGCCCCTCTGGTGAGGGGCCAGACAACGCTGTAGATGGCGATGTCGCCACGAAATGGCTTGACTTCAACATGTCGCGCTCGGCAGGATTACACATCCAACTGCCAAACCCGGTGTCCCTGTCAAGCTGGAGTTGGGTGACGGCGAACGACTACGTCAACAGGGACCCCTTCCAGTGGAACTTCTATGGACTTTACATTGAGTCGGGGAACAACAACATGGTTCTTCTCAACCAGCAGTCAACCGATCTTTCCGTGCCGCTAGAACGAAAGGTATCTGTCGGGGTGCTGACCATTGCTCCCGTGCTCACCACCAGCAGCACAACCACTTCATCAGTATCAACTTCAAGCACAACAGCAACCACCACTTCGACATACAGCAGCAGTACGTCAACATCAATGTCGAGTACGACATCGACATCCGCCAGCACCACGGCAACATCAACTTCATCCACTACCACCGCATCAAAATCAACTTCAGCCACCAGCAGCACATCAAAGTCAATGTCATCCACCAGCAGCAGCACATCAATGACAACTTCAAGTGCCACCTCCACTTCAACGTACAGCAGCCGCACATCAACATCAACCTCAAGTACGTCGATCACGAAGACATCCACGACGAGTTTGTCGAGCTCCACCACGTCTTCGTCCATCAGCTTGACTCGGACCACCGTCACCGTCACCTCTGGAGATGCTGCTGTCCTGTCGGCTCTGGTGGCCGAGTTGATAAGAGACCTTGAAAGCAGCCAGGAGAGCATGGCACAGCTGTTTCGAGTCTTGGACTCGAGCTCAAACACGTCCACTCCCGAAGTGTACGGCACGCTGGTAACCCTGCCCAACATCCATGCAGGGACCCCATTCCACACCGGTTTGCTTCGAGCTGGCCCAAACGAGACCAGCGCAGGCTCCATGCAAGTGTTTGCCGGAGAATCTGTTGTAGATATTCCGACCGCTCTTTTCACATCCGAGGCGCGCCCTGGGTACGCTGTGATCAGCATAACAGATTCACAGCCAGGAGACGAGATTAGTGCAATCCTCGCTGCTTATACCCAGGCTTCTGGAGATGTCTTGGTGACGCAACCTATCAGTATCAAAGCAAGCCTGTTGGAGCACGGAGTCAACGGAACGCTGCCAGCGCCGCTCAACTTCACCATGCCGATCACAGATGCCAATGCCACTGGTGACTTGACATGTGTGTACTGGGATGAGCAACAGGACGCCTGGTCGAGTCAGGGCGTGATGACAGTTTCCGCTGCTGGGGGCAGCGTGCGATGCTCCACCACTCACCTCTCACTCTTTGCTGCGATTATAAGGGCCGTCGTGACAACATTGGTGTGTAGCAACGCAGCTGCCATCTTCTCGCTAGAAGGCTTGCAATCCTTGCTGAAGTGGCAGTGGGCAGTGCAGGCTCCTGCTATCATCCAGTGGGTTACCCTTCTGGCCGGGCTTTGCTTAGTCTTTGCAGCGAAACGAATGGACCAGCGATACATGGAGCACGTGGATGCATTGGAGGGGTTTCAGGAGATCAGGATTTTGCGACCGGTTGAATTCTCCCGCAGGGAGTTCGTCACTGACCTGCGTGAGTATTTCCTCGGAGTATTTCATCCATCTAGGCGCGTGGCCAGCCAGTTAGTAAAGAGGAAGATCGGGTTGGGCGTCGGCGAGTTGTATCGTTTGCAGCGCGTGAGTGGAGTTACAGCATGGCATAAGCAGGCTCGGTCCATTCTGTCGAAATTCTCGGAGCAAAGGCTCTTCTTGAAGCTGACCATGCTGTACCAAGTGCATTGTCGTTGGTTCAACTTTGCCACCCCTTCACTGAAAGCCAGCTGTGCTCAGCGTTGCAGTGTGCTTCTGGCCAAACTGTACAGTGGCTGGGCAATCATGGCGGTCTTCTACGGGTCCACAGCACTGGCCCCCGATCAACCCGAATGTGCTCCCCCCGAGGCATTGCTGGATAAGTTGGTCCGCAGCGCTGTGATCGCGTGGATTTCTGCAATCTTCGGCTCCGTGCCGTTTGTGTTGCTGCTGGCTTTGGTGCACTTCGGTGGAAACAGTGCCAGCTCAGCGCGGACAAATCTCTTCTGGGGTTACATGACGATCCACCTGATTCTCTGTGCTCTGGTGGTCAGCATCTTTCTGGCCAGCGTCAGTCCGGCGGACGGAGAGAAGTTTCTATTATCCACAGTCACCAATCTGCTGACCTCATTGCTTGTCACCCCCGTGCTCCTGACAGTGCTGTTTGGAGCATGCATGCTCGCCAGGGCTGATGATCTAGATCGGCTGCTAGAGTGGCAGCAGGAGGACCAATTCGAAGTCTCTGTCTCCAAGGTTGTAGTTCCAGTCGAGCAGTTGCAGGCAACTCTGAAGCTGGACTCACGATTGAATGTCACTGTTCTCGCAGAGGTTTTCGGCGATCATTCCAGTTCTACCACCCTCGACAGGAACAAAGTGTCCGGAAGCTTCAGCTCCTCCGATACATTCCTCGTCACGAAGCGTCAGGTTCTGATGTTCACTGTTATTGTCGTGGAGCTGCAACGGAGGCATGCATTCACGCTTCATGCCGTGGCCTTAGGCAGCGACGCACTTGCCGGCTACAGCGGGGCACTGCCCCTCTTTGTGCCCGGCAAGAAGTCGCCATGTGCAGAAGTCTTGGTGGAGGTTGCCCCTGCAGGGGGCAAGCAGGAAAAGGTCGACGCCAAGGGTCAAGATGAAGAAGTTCTGATTGTCCAGGTTGCGCCCAACAACGAGGGAACACCGCTAGAGGAGAAGGTAGACAACAAGAGTCCAGATGAGGAAGGGGTGACTGTTCCAGTGGTGGCGCTGGAGCCAGAACCTCCATGCGAGGCACCCACACCCGTGGCAAGGACTCCTGAAACAAGGGAGCCCTTGTCAGGAAGCAAAAACATGCTGCACTTGCAGCAGGAATTCGCTCTCGCTCCACTTTCACGGCCTCGCATGGGCCCTTGCTTGCGCCCGCAGTCACGGACGTTGGGTACTCCACGCCGTGGACAGGATCCCACAGGTGCGAGTGCAGTCTCCAAAGGGGACAGGGCATGACTACTCTGCAGGATCCGGGCGCCGTCATTGTATGTTAAATGGCAAGAGCGAGGCATCTAAAGAAGTGCCCGCTGCAAGGTGTACCTCTACAGATGGGCCATTTCGGCCTAGTTCAGGCTCTGGAACCCCCATGTGGGTAGTTCTCCAAAGTAGGGTCCGTTTTAGCGTCCTTATTATAAGGGTACGGTACTCTATTGGGGAGCTAAAACGGGGACGCCTAACTTAGAACAAATTCCCCATGGTGCAGACAGCCAGAATGCGAGGTGCTTGTCCGGCGCGGGCCCGGCCGTCATCGCTTTTACCAGCGGCCCGGGGTCCCAGAAGTTCCAGGTGTCTTCGGGTTTAGGGTTTAGTCTAGGGTTTAGGGTTTGGGGTTTAGGGTTTAAGTTTAGGGTTTAGGCTTAGCCACGAGTGCGATGTGCTGCGAGGGACTCGGCCGGGCGAGCTCAGTTCAAGCCTGTGAAAAAGGCTCGGTGACGGCAGTTCCGGGCGAGCGAAGCCTGCTGCAAAAGGGATTTCAAGTTTGGTCGGGTTTCAATAGTGCTGCGCAACAGCCTGCAACAGCTTGGCTGGCCCTGTGTTGGTACGACGTACTGTGGCCTTTCCCGAAGAACCTCTTGTGGAACAAGGGCAGGGCAGCCCCTCCCACCATCGATGGTGACTTATTCCTGAGCAAATCAATGTCATGCCTCTATAACACATTGCACACGAAGCTTTATTGCCTTTTTCTCCAGGTCGCTGTGGTGACGTGATTGCGCAGAACGCCTCGGAGCGCGAGGTGCTGCCAGGGTTTGTTACCTTCACAGAGCCTTCCAAGATGTCCCGCCGTTTTTTTGGATTTCGGCGGAGCTGCATTGTAATGCTATCCTGTTGTTCGTGACCAGAGGAGTTCAACGTAGCGGAAGCCTTGCTGTCAGCGGCCGACTCCATTGGCTGCCAGGGCCTGAGAGTCCGCTCCATACCCTGCAGGAGGTGAGGTAGGCTTTGGCACTCAGTTTCACAGGGTTTCCGGCGCCATTTGAGGAAGGTGCACCTTGAGGTTCGACAGCAATCCCTGGCATGGCCTCCTGTTTACTTCCGGGCCCTCACAACATCCGGCCAAGGTCCGGGGCACGTGCTCATCACAAAGCCGGTCGAGTCAGACACCCAGGGGGAAGCAGTTGACCTCTACTTCTTAGGATAGGTCGTTCATGGACACGGCTTCTATCTCTGGGATCATGTCGTCGTACGCACGATGGTGTGTTTGGCTTCCTCTATCCCCCATGAGTTTAGCAAAATGTGTGAACACCGTTCACATCTTCAGAGGATTAATGAGCAGACTGGTAGGACGGTGGAGGGGTAAGGACTAGGAGCGGACGTACAGACGTGTGGCTTGAGTTGCAGAGTGGTGCTTCAATGCATCTGCCAGCATTACGACTGCGCTGTCATGACAAAGGCACGGCGGATACATCGTGTCGGAAACCAAAGCAGGGACCCTGGACCTTCGAGGGTTGGATCGCTCCAAGGATTGAATGTTAATTAGCAAGGTCAGAGTAGTGTGGCGGGTGGTCTGGAGTTGTGTCACGCTTCTCTGAGTTGATCTTTGGGTAATGTTGCATCTTCAGAGCGATAGCTGAGGTCGGCATCCACTTTAGCTAGCATGATGAATACGTGGCAGTGTTTGTTTGCCATCATGTCGGTTTTCGAATGGCTTTGGAAAGGAACAAAGGTTGGGTTGGAGATCTGACTGACGAATCTGTGAAGGTTGCACTTGCTGCTTGCTCATGCTCCTGTTCTTTCATGTCTTCATGATATTCATGAGTCCTTTCGCGACCTTCGGGGTAACAATATGATATATTATGATATATTCAGACTCCAAGCACGAAAATGAAGCACAGATCTCTTCGGCAGTCGACAGTGCTCAGTGATGTTGACTGAGCCTGGCTTTCGCAGCATGTAACATACATACATATATATATATATGTATACACATTGTATATGGATATATATTTAGTAATACATATATATATATATCATATTCACGACTTGTCCAAATTCAAATATTTTCCACACCATGATTTGGATTTCTATCAAGCACCTGGTCACAGGCCACCACACCTGAGACTGCTTTCGAGTCGTGTTGGGGGGCTCGAGTTTGATGAACTTGCCCATGATTGTGGATGGTGCATATCTGTGTGCATGTAGTTGTGTTGGCTATATATGTCCAAGCGCATGTGTACCGGCTATACATAACACGCTGTATGTCTGGATACATACACACACATATATATATATGGATACATGTGTATATATATATATGTACATGCATACACACATATGTATATAAACGCTGGTACATCCACTGATTGTTCAGCTTTATGTATTCATTCAGATGTTTGCGCATTATCTGTTAGCCCATGTGCATTTGTTCATTCATTTATTTCATATATTCTAAACAGAGACCTGTTCATCGCCTGGGGGTTTTCGGAGGAGGATGCCCTCAAGAGGGCAGGCGCAGGTAATGTTGGGGTTCAATCCTCAGTTGTCTGTCACTTGGAAAAGGCTTACAGCTACACAGCTGCATGTTTCTTTACTTCTGCATTCACTTGTTTATTCATGTATACGGGTTTGTGTGCATACACACATGTACATGCGTACATACATACATACATACATACACGCATACATACATCCTACATAATACATACATACACATACATACATACACACGTACGTACGTACGTACGTACATACATACATAGATAGAGAGAGAAAGAGATGTGTATATATATATATGTATGCATGCATGTATGTATGTATGCATGTATGTATGCATGCGAGTATGTATGTATGAATGTATGAATGTAAGCATGTACGTACGTATGTATGTATGTATGTATACAGACATAGACAGCAGGAAAGATGGATGTAGGGAAGTGATCGTGAACTGCTTAGTATCTAGGCTCATGTTAAGCATGTGGCCTGGGCTCGAAATGAGCTGGAGTTTACTCTTTGGCTCGAATTGTCGTGCCGCCTTTTAGCCGCTTTTAGCCTCGCCTGACCTCGTCGAGCGCGAATGCTAAAACACTGTCTGTCTGTATGTATGTATGAATCTGTGTATGCATGTATGCCGGCTGTCTGGATGTATGTACCTATGTATGTGTATATTTATGTATATATATATATATTATATAAATAAAAAATATATATATATATATATTCATATATATATATATATACAAATTTATATACACTTATACACGTACACATATGGAGTCAGTATTTTATCTACCTCGTTTAGGTTCCCAGAAAGCCAAGGTTTCGGACCCGGACAGCAGGGAAAGCCGTATCCACTATGCCGCGGCCTGACATCTTCAGCAACCATCGACTAGTGCCATGTCGCCGTTAGGCTTACCCATCGAACTTCCTGTCTCTTACCGCATCGCAGTTTATGTTGCTAGCAGGGGTGAGGGACACGCACTGGAAGCAAGAATGACGGCAGTGATTTCAAACGGATTCAAGGTGCAGACAGGCAAGCCATGTTCAACGCTGCGTTTCACCGTAGGAGTCCTGCAAAATGCATCGCGATGCTTCTGGACGCCGAGGTTCAAGATTGAGCGCGCATCCCTTCCCGGCGGATGCTGGGCCAGGCTGAGTCCTGTCATCACAAATTGCTGCTTGCACAGGGCCCTCATGCTGACCCCAGCCTCGTGCCGTAATCGCCACGACGTCAGGTGGAAAGGCGCTTCGATGTGAGTCTTCGAGATTTAGGGTGGCCTATGGCGACAGGGTAGCTGCTCCTACCGACATGGGTGACGGGTCAAAGTTGCCAGCACCAAGTCAATCACCTGTGGCAGAAAAGCGACGTCACCACCAGAAAGGCTGCTTGCTGTCTGCCTGTCCTTGGCTGGAAATGCATGTAAAGGGGGGGATGTTTTTTGCATCTTGGGAACATGCTCGCGAGCTGAAGGCGGCTTGGACAGCGAGAAGAAGCACGTCACAACCAGGTTTCCTAGAACCCCAAAAGCGGGAACAGATGAGGCAACTAGTAGTTATAAATATTGATAAGCATCCACATGCAACAGCTCATGCAGCGCCCGGATCTTCTTAACATGGAGGCTCCAGCCGGTGTTTCTCAGATCGCAGCGGACAGCGCCCACAAGACATCATTTTTTCTCAGCATGAGAGGCTGTCTCGACACATCAAGCATGCACCAGCAGTTGTAAGGCTTTTTCCTAGCTGGCCTATGCATGGGGCTCTAGCGTTGTTGGTTCTGATCCTGGAGTGGATTGCCTGTTCTACCCAACCTCTGTGCGAGATCTGACTCGGGGGAACCCAGAGATCCAAGTGTCAGAGCCCGGGACAGCGCCTCACCGCGCGCAGAGATAGGTTTGCTAGCCCAAGGCGCCACGGCCGTGGCCTGGCTGAATGGCGGGAGTAGCCTGTCGGGCGCCGAGCCAGGCAAAGCAGTACATGGAGATGTGGGTGACTGGAAACGACTACATCTCCAGGGACCCTGTCCAGTGGTACTTCTATGGACTTTACATTGAGTCGGGGAACCACCACATGGTTCTTCTCAACTAGCAGTTGACCGATGTTACCGTGCCCTAGATCGAGACGTATTTGTTGGGATGCTGACCATAATTCCCGTGCTGCCCACCAGCAGCACCACAACAAGCACTTCATCATTAACAAGTTCACGTACAACTGCAACTGCCTCCTCAACATTCAGTTCCTCGATAACCAGTTCAAGCACAACAGGAAGTAATATCAACATTAACTTCGAGTGCGACATCCACAGTCACTGGCAGCACATCAATTTCCACTTCGAGTGCCACGTCAATATACACCAGCAGCACATCAGTTTCCACGAGCGTCAACGTACACCAGCAGCACATCAATTCCCGCTTCGAGGCAATAATTTCCAGCTCGAGTGCCACATCAACATACACCAGCAGCGCATCAACATCGACCTCACGTACCACATCGACGCTTTTCAGCTACACGGCAACGTCGAGTTCGTCGAGCACACCGACTTCCAAGACGAGCTCGTCGATTGCATTGACTTCCACGATGAGTTCGTCCAATACAGTGACTCCTACGACGAGTTTTTGGAGCTCCACCACGGCTCCAACATCAACATCATCGTCGACGGGCAAATAAACGCGCACCGGAGAAACCACGACAACACAAGCCTGTCGTCAACATCCTCGTTGACATCGCTGGACACAGACCACTGTCACCATTACCTCTGAAGATGCTGCTGTTCTGGCGGCTCTGTCGACGCACTTTGTCAGAGAACTTGAAAGGAACCAGGTTAAGGACACCGTGCAGCTTTCCGATTCTTGGGCTCGAGCTCAAACACCACGAACTCGTCCAATCCGGAAGTGCACGGCGCGCGGCAAACCGTCCTCAGAAACACAGGGACTCCCGTGTATACCAGCGTCAGCGATTCAAAGCCAGGAAATGAGATTACCGAAGTTTGAATTGCTTCGACACGGGCTTTTGGAGATGTGTTGGTCTTGCAACCCATCAGTATCAAAATAAGCCTTTGGGAGCACGGAGTCAAGGGCGCTGCCAGCATGAGCAACAGGACGCTTGGTCGAGTCAGGGCGTGATGACAGTGTCCGCTACATGGTGCAGTGTGCGATGCTCCAGTACTCACCTCTCACTTCTTGCTGCGATTATCAGGGCCGTCGTGACAACATTGGTGTGTAGCAACCGAGCAGAGCTGTTCGACGGTATCTACGACGATACCTGTCCCACCGCACAGTGACCGGTCCTACCCCGTTCCTGGTGCAGCGCTTCGTGGCCGAGGACGGTCCCTGGCGTTTCAGATGGCTACATGCTGAACGCCATCCGGCACAGGCAGCCCGAGACACTCCTCGACGGTGTTCCGTTTCCATCAAGTCTTGATGAACCGAGCTGCCATCTTCTGGCCAAAAGGCTTGCAATCCGTGCTGAAGTGGCAGTGGCCAGTGCAGACTCCTGCTGGTCTCTGCAGCGAAACAAATGGAGCAGGGTCAGGAGTTCGTGCGCCATCGCTGCAGGACGACGTGTTGCCGTCGAAGAGCCGCTGCTGTAATCCGTCGTTTGCAAGTTTATGTTGAGTTCAACAAGAACACCTGGCAGGGTGTCTGCGGAGTCTCGGGAGTTTACCTTAGATCGTGCGCAAGGTCATAGAGAATCCGTGGACACGCAGCAACTCAAGGAATGAAATTCTGATGCGAGTCGAAGCTGCTGAATCTGCAGGCAGTGCTTGCACACCTGCGGACAACTCAAGACACAGATGCTCAGATACGTGCACCAACTGACCACACATGCAAAGGAGTGGCTGATGACGCACGGTGCCGCTCGCCTCTGGCAAAAAATTGCGATGCTGTGTGCTGTCCTTCGGTGCGATACCAGAACTAACTACCAGAAGGTGTCATCCAATGCCATGAGAGCACGCCTTCTGTTGCCGACACCCTTGCAAAAGTATTTAGTTCGGCTATGTCTTGCCAGATGCTGTACCATAGGCAGAGGAGTTGTTCACAAAGCCCTTCGACCCCATGTGACGTATCTGTCCGCTTCGTACAGCGCCGTGGTGTTCTGCTTCCAGCCGCTCTTTCGGCTGATGTACTCTCTCTCTCTCTCTCTTTTGCCGTTTGACCGGCTCTGGGAGCTGCCCAAAGCCGGCAGCGCAAGCTTGTGTTGACGATCACTCTGGCTAGTACTACAAGTATTACTACTATTTATATGTGTTTTTTTGCGATGAATATGTGCATAGAGAAGGTGTCGAGGGGTGTGCACTGCACTCGCGTTATCGAAGTAGAGACCAGAGATGGCGGGAGCAGCCCTATTCGCACAGGCCCATGAGCAAAACCAGTGGATCATCGTCTTCAGCCCTTTGCCGTTTCGCGTGGAGAGTGCATTTGGCCATGCCGAGCCGCGCCTCCGCGAAGCAAGAGGCCAGTGCCAGGGTTCCATGATTTCCCTCTGAGGACGCGTGCGCACGCTCTCGCACAGAATGCTTTGTGGGAATTCCCACGTATCAGCAGGACATCTTGTGTTTGCATCGAAAGTTTGAAAGCCAGCCCTGCATCAGGCACAGAAAGAACGGGCTTTGCCAGGACCCCGGAGCACGGATGCATGAGGACAAGGTGTGCAACGTAGGCAACAAGAACAGCAACCACAACAATAGCAGCAACAGCAACAACACCAACACCACCAACGCCAACCACATCCGCCACAACAACCACAACGACAACCACGACAACGCCAGCAGCGGCAGCAGCAACAACAACAACAACATGCTGCGTAACGGCCGCAATTCAATGTGCTGCTGCAGGTACGCCAACAGCAACCAGTAGCAACGGCCATAGGCAAGACAACAGCGACAAGCACCCCCAATTGTCGAAAGCACTGCTGACATCAGCGTTGGCAATGGTAAGGCAGCGGCAAGTACAAGCTGTCCGCGATTGTAAGGTCGGTTCGGTTTATGTACCTTATTATGTATGGACAGCTTCGTGTTCGCAATTATTAGCAACAGCCGATTCACCAGTGGTTGCCCGAAGCTTGTCTTAATGATTAAATACCAGTAAGACAGTAAGAGCCTCCGGAGCCGAACATGTAGGGAATGAGTGAGTGCATCTTGCTAGGCGACACATTTACACAGATAGTTGTTTCACACAACATGCACGTGGGAACCATCAAAGCCTGGGTGGCATCCAACACGGATTCGCGAGGAAGGAGATGCACGAGAGGAAAAAGGACAACACATCGCATGCTGTTGGAGCTCTCGAAACATCTATCAAATATGTTGCGTGAACACCTAAACCATGAAATGGCCACGGCCATGTGCTTGAGGCCCAACCTGCAGAAGTCATCGTCTACGCCTGCTGTCCAAAGGTGCCCCTGGCTGCACATGCCAGGTTCTTGCAGATGGCAGGGAAGAGTAACAGCAGAAAGTCATTGGACTCTGTGCAAGAGTTGCGGCACCCGTCAGCGTGTGACTGGGCACGCTGTGTAATCAGTGGGTCGTTACCCTTGCTTCCCTTCCTTGGCACAAGAAGCACGGCGGTCGAAGTTTTGCAGAAGGATCTTGCTCGCTCCCCTGGCACTACACACGAGACACACCGCGCCGTGTACGCAGGAACGCCCCGGCGGTCCAAAAAGAGTTCGCGGCCCAGACCTTGCCAGAGGTTTTAGCAGTTTTAGCATCGGCAAGCAATCTTTTGTACCTTTGTCATCGTCTCATTCTCAACAAAGCGGCATCATTGATGAAAGCAATGCCTCAAGTTTTGTAACTAGTAGTCTTCGTGAGGATTGTTCAATCGAGCCACAATAATGCGGATCACGCTAGCCACGAACAGCATGTAACACCAACAGCAACAATAATACGAACAACAGCAGCAAGCAACAGCAGCAGCAGCAACAGCAGCAGCAGCAACTGCAGCAGCAGCAGCAGCAGCAACAGCAACAGCTACAGCAACAGCACCACCGCCATCAGCGACGACGACGACGACGACGACTACTACTACTACTACTGCTACTTCCGCCGCTGCCGCTGCTGCTGCTGCTGCTGCTGCTGCTGCTGCTGCAGCTGCTGCTGCTGCTGCTGCTGCTGCTGCTGCTGCTACTACTACTACTACCACCACCACCACCACCACTACCACTAGGACTACGACTGCGACGACGACTACTGCAACTACTCCTGCTGCAGCATCCGCTTTTGCACCGCAAACACCTCCACCGCCACCAGCACCACCACCAGCACAACGACAGCGACAAAGTACACGCACAAGAATTGGAGAACAAGGAGCAACCAAAGCAGCTGCAACAGCTCCCTTCGACAGCAAGAGCAGGACTCAGAAGCAATATGAGCAATGACCAACAACAGAGGTAAAAGCACGGCCGACGAAAGAAGGGATTAGAAAGATGAAGACTAAGAATATATTTTCTTGTATGGATACAAAATAAAGAAATACAAATATATATATATATATGTATACATATGTGCAAAATATTGCGACCTAAACTCAACCCGCAATTTTAGGTACGTGTGTGTTGGTGTGCATGTGTGCAGGCGTATGTGTGGCTTTGTAATGTAGTCACGGTGAGATGAGCACGGACCCGCTTGCAGGTAGAGATGTATATGTATGCACCTCTCTGTCTCTGGCTATACGGCTATAGTACGCCTCAAAAATAAAGCACACTATAATACTTTGGTGCTCAGCCCCGAGGGGCCAGCAGCTGCCACGACTCTTGGGCAGCTCTTCTCAGCCAGCCGCCTCTTGGCGGCACCCTGTTTGTATAGATAGATAGACAGGTAGACAGGGAGGGAGGCAGGTATCTGTGATCCCGGCTCGGCCGTCGCCGAAGAGCTCCCCCCCCTTCCCCCCTGTGGTGTGGTGTGGCTCGGGGTTTGGGTCCGTGTGGTTCGCAGTTTGGGTCTTCTTGGGATGTTTGGCATCATCATCATCATCGGAGTTTGGGTCTGTTTGGGCGTGCCTCCCCTGGCCCCCTGTGGTGTGGTGTAGTTCGAGTCTGGGTCAGCTTAGACTGCGGTGTGGTGTAGTTCGGGAAATGCGTTTGCTTGGGGGTTGGTGTCATCATCATCATCATCATCATTATCATCATCATGTTCCTTCCTTGGGTCAACTGTCACAGGAATCGGGCCTGTCAGAAAGGCGATCCTCGTTACGGCTGCATTGGTTTATGCTCTTCTGTCGGAGTCGTGGTTGGAAAGTGTCCACTGTGACAGGATCCGGTGCGTGTTTCGGACGAGATTCTCGTGACAGTTGACGGTTTCAGAGGCAGTCACAGGGATTCGGCATGTTTGGACCCTGGGGAGGGGGGGGGGTCGGCGAACCGAGAACCAGGATCAGGTAGGTAGGTGGCTGTGTGTGTGTGTACTAGTATACACTGTATACACCTCCCAACATGAGCCTCCAAGATAATGAGGAGCACTACGTGGCCCCACTAACGCCATTCATTCGGATGTTCGAATCGGCCTGCCCAGGTGAGGAAGGAGGGCGATCGGAAGGACAAGGCGGAAAAGGAGCCGAGGAGAGACCCAAGGCAGGGATAACTCTGCTTCTGGAGGGCTGGAAACCGTCTCGGGTTATGTACAATGGCATATTATATGGAGATCTTAGATTGTTTGGGAAACGCTTTTTTTTTGCTTGCCTGCTTCAAGGATGGTTTTCTGCAGATCACGTCTTTATGTGTGGCCCAGCCTTGATCGCCACGCCGCAGGCCACAAAAGAAATCT